ACACACAAGCCCCTCGCTTGTTTGTATGTTTTTCTTATGTGGCTATGTCTGCGCTGATGTTGTTCTGAATAGGAGCATAGGAATTTTCGGGTTTCAGAATTCCCATATCTGATTGTATTGTTAGAGATGAGAACTGGACTCTAATAATAAGTGGAATACTTTTACTTTTCCCCCCCTTCACATTGATTTTGATCCGAGAGCAACGAGTTATTTTTCCGCGTAGACCGAGTTTTCTACCCTTGCTTTGCAAGCAGGGAATTTAAAAGATAAATTCAGAACTGGAAGTTGCTTTTGATGTGCATGTTTGGTTCTTTATGACTCGGTGATATTGTTGCAAACATTACCTTAATCTCTCATTGGCATTTTGGGCAGTTTTTTTTTTTTTTGTTGGAGGGAGTTATTAGGTAAATTGCCACCATTCAGATATTTATATCGAAATGAACTTGGATTCACCTAACTGATCTGTTTTGTTTCCACCTGCTGAATATATATAAACGAGTGGAAAGCAAAGTTCCTGGTCGGTGTCCATCACACAAACTGTGGGTGACTGGGACGGTTAGGAAGTATAGCCTGATTTATTTAAGTTAGTCTCCATCACAACAAATGGGAGAGGAACAAATAAAAAGGGTTAACTAAAGAGATTTATCAAAGAACTTCTCATTGAGATAATAATCAGCATCACACGTTGAAAAAGGGTTAAAGAGGGGAATTTTTTTGCTGTGAAATTTAAGTTCTGCTGCAAAATTTTTTTTTGCAAAAATTTTGTTGTTGCTGCTGTTGTTGTTGTTGGGTTTTAGTTTTATTTCTTTTTGACCGTTATTGATAGATAAGTCTCAATCTACAATCAATATATGGCATAATACAGTTTTAAATTTTAGATTTGCTCTTTATATTGTATATAAAGAAATTATTATAGGTTGTCATCATGTTTACCGTAAGAAAAATTCCTTAAAAAAATTCAAAATATGAGACCAACAGGGTGACGCGTGAGGTGTCCCACTCCTATTGTTGCACGATGAGCTGATCATTGTTCTCATATTTTGGGTTCCTGTAGCAAACTCAGCGTCAACAGCTCGATCTTATTAGTGCAAACTCACCACCACAAAGCACAAAGGTCTTATATGAAAGGGAAATATAGCCGACGGTCTTGACCAAAGTTAGGGGAACATAAATAAATAAATAAATTAATGACCACAGGCATTCATTTAACGAGGCTTTCATCGTCAGTCCGCGTCCCCACTCCCACTCCGCGTCGAGCTCCTTTACTGATAGCGCGCATCACAAACAGTTATCAAATGCCAAACTTTGTCGGCGATCCTTCCGAGATAAAATAATCACCGACAAAATCCGATCTTCCTCCTCCTCCTCCTTATTAAGCTCCTAATTTCGTTTCCCCCGCACCGTCGCTCTTCTCTCAGCATCGTCATCAATGGCCGCTGAGCGGCCGCTCTACCTCCGCCCGCCCCCTCTCCTTTCTTCAATACCGCGTCTTCGCCTCCGCCATCTCACCCTCTCTTTCCTCGCCTCTCTCTCCGTCATCCTCTCCTCTCATCTCCTCCTCCCCCTCCTCCTCCTCCTCCTCCTCCCCCCCCTTGACCTAGCCGGCTCCTCACGACGGCCGAGACGCTCCGTCGTCTTCGTTCTTTCGCCGGAGCTCGGCGTCGACGGAGCTTCCTCTCCCTCAGCTCCTCCGATCCCCTCCGCACCCGCCTACCTCCTTCCTGCCGCCGCACGACCTCACCCCTTCGCCCTCGTCCACGCCTACTCCTCCCTCGCTCGCCGCTCCAAGCTCTCCTCCTCTCGATCTCTCTCCATTTTCCAAGACCTCTCCTCCTCCTTCTCTCAGCTCGCTTCCAAGATCTCTTCCTCCTCCTCCTCCAATCTCGACGACGACTCCCTCCGTCTCTTGGAGAAAGAAGCCAAGGAGAAGATCAAGACCGCTCGCCAGATCATCTCTGAATCTAAGGAGTCCTTCGACACTCAGCTCAAGATCCAGAAGCTTCGAGACACGATCTTCGCCGTTAATGAGCAGCTCAACAAGGCCAAGAAGCTAGGCTCGCTGTCCAGTCAGATCGCTGCCGGATCCACCCCTAAATCGATCCACTGCCTCAATATGAGACTGATGGGGGATTGGATCAACAATCCTAAGAAGTACAAGAAGCTGATCCCTAACCCTAACTCCCCGGCTCTCATAAACCCAGATCTTTATCACTATGCAATTTTCTCCGATAATGTGATCGCGGTCTCCGTGGTTGTGAATTCGGCGGTGAAGAGTGCTAAGGAGCCGCGAAAGCACGTGTTCCACGTGGTGACGGACAAGATGTATGTGGCGGCGATGAGCGATGAGGGTTTGGTTTCTGAGGAGGCCGCCGGCGCACGGTGCACGTGTGGATGTCCGGTCGGTGTCGGAGTTTGGGTTCTTGAACTCGTCTTACTCGCCGGTGATTCGAATGGTTGAAGGAGGGAGAAAGGATTTGGATTTGCTTGAGTACTTGAGGTTCTACTTGCCGGAGATGTTTCCTAAATTGAGGAGGATTGTTTTGTTGGAGGATGATGTGGTGGTGCAGAGAGATTTGGCTGGGCTCTTTAGGGCGGATCTCGGTGGGAAGGTGAATGGGGCGGTGGAGATGTGCTTTGGGGGATTTCGTAGGTACAGTAAGTACTTGAACTTTTCGACTGAGGCGGTGAAGGAGAAGTTTAGCCCGAGGGCTTGTGCTTGGGGTTTCGGGGTGAATGTGTTTGACCTTGATGTGTGGAGGAGGGAGCAGTGCACGGACCAGTTCCATCAGTTCCAAAACTTGGTGAGATTCTTCGACTTTAGCTGATTAATCTGCATCTTGTTATTAGTATTTAGCATTATAGCCTTTACATTTACCTTTAGCTCTTTAGGGATATACTGGTCAGGGACAGAACCTATTCAGAGCATTATAAGTAAAATACTAGATAAAAAAATGATTGCTGAGTCTATAGACACCAATTATGTATATGCATCATGTTAAACTAACGCGCCTGCTATATCAATTGTTTCACGACGTCAAATAGAATTGTATAGGAATACCGTTAATGTGTGGGAGGATCTTGGCAGTGCATTGGTGATTCAATTATGACTCTTTCTATAGCTTGTAATCCTGGCATGCTTTGTACTACATGGACATTCACACCTTTTTGCAACCATCTCTCGTGGTCTCATGCATTTCTACCTTCTACATAAAAATAGGTGAAGCATGTTTATACTGGCCAGGGACAGAACCTATTCAGAGCATTATAAGTAAATTACTAGATAAAAAATTGATTGCTGAGTGTATAGACACCAATTATGTATATGCATCATGTTAAACTAGCGTGCCTGCTATATCAACTGTTTCACGACGTCAAATAGAATTGTATAGGAATACAATTAATGCGTGGGAGGATCTTGGCAATGCATTGGTGATTCAATTATGACTCTTTATATAGCTTGTAATCCTGGCATGCTTCGTACTCCGTGGACATTCACACCTTTTTGCAACCATCTCTCATGGTCTCATGCATTTCTACCTTCCACATAAAAATAGGTGAAGTATGTTTATACTGGTGAGGGACAGAACCTATTCAGAGCATTATAAGTAAAATACTAGATAAAAAATTGATTGCTGAGTGTATAGACACCAATTATGTATACGCATCATGTTAAACTAGCGCGCCTGCTATATCAACTGTTTCACGACGTCAAATAGAATTGTATAGGAATACGATTAATGTGTGGGAGGATCTTGGCAACGCATTGGTGATTCAATTATGACTCTTTATATAGCTTGTAATCCTGGCATGCTTCGTACTCCGTGGACATTCACACCTTTTTGCAACCATCTCTCATGGTCTCATGCATTTCTACCTTCCACATAAAAATAGGTGAAGTATGTTTATACTGGTGAGGGACAGAACCTATTCAGAGCATTATAAGTAAAATACTAGATAAAAAATTGATTGCTGACTTTGTAAACACCAATTATGTATATGCATCATGTTAAACTAACGCGCCTGCTATATCAACTGTTTCACGACGTCAAATAGAATTGTATGGGAATACCGTTAATGTGTGGGAGGATCTTGGCAGTGCATTGGTGATTCAATTATGACTCTTTCTATAGCTTGTAATTCTGGCATGCTTCGTACTATGTGGACATTGACACCTTTTTTCAACCATCTCTCATGGGCTCATGCATCTGTACATGCGACAGAAAAATAGGTGAAGCATGTTTATTTGTCTAGCAGTGGATGATGTAATTTGCCATTCTCGCTCTGTTTTGCTCGTGTCTACCACATTGGTCAATTCCGTGACAAACAAGTAAACATATTGTTTGAAATAGTCCACAAGATCATCACAAGTTTAAACCCCTATTCTCAGTTTGAATTTTATGGTGCTGGGAGTGATTTGCCATTTTTAACCAACAAAAGCACTTCAGGCACATGTTCAACAAATTTAGGCCTTTTGGTAGAAATGTGGCATCAGCTTGGCATTGGCATCCACCGTTAAAAACATGTCATCACATCCTTCTCTGCGTGATTCGGCAACTGATATGTTATTGGTGATTCTTTCTGTTCTCTAGTGGTGCTAGTGCTACTGTATTAACAAGCTATGGCAGCATGCTCTGAAGTTTGTTTCACCTGTGCTGTTCACTATATGCAGTTCAAACCACCCTATAACCACAGATGGAACCAATTTGGGTATTGTGTATGTTTCCATGGTTCATCCAACTCTATGGTGGTGCAGGCCGATGCTCTTTGCCTTGTGCAAGTTAATCAGTCTTGACTTCTCTTGATCTCCTCATAAAATAGCTGTTCATTGGTTCCATATTCCAAAGCACTTTGCCAATGAGTTATCCTCTTTATCTTTTCTTTCCATATAATAAATATCCTTCTTTGAAATCTGCTATGTGCCATAATGCTTCCCAACTTCTTATTAACTTCATATTTCATTGGCTTCTCCATCTACTTTGCCACCTAAACCTATGCAACTTCATTGCATGGAGAAAGTATGTTTTCCTGGGAAAAACAGGAAAACAAATATGAGCGCATCCTCACACTGACAATAAGAAATATGGAGTAGATTATGCACTGATGATTCCTCTTATATGACATCAAGCCTTCCTCCCTATGGTCCAAAGACATGAACATGAGTGTGTAACAGATACATGTGATTGGTGGCAATGACTGCCCAGAATTCAAACATGAGAACATGACTAATGGTGTGTTTATTGGAATATGTTATGCTTAACTCAATAGCCGTATAAATATTTGTTATTAGCATAAGAAAACCGGGGCATTCTGTGAAAGGCTTTACCATTTTTTAGTGTTGGGTCCAGTTGAACATGTGTTGTGTCATGTCCGGCTATCAGACATGTCAACTTCTTGGCAGGAAGAAGAATCTTGCATATTGTGAAGTCCTCCAAGTCATCTTTTTCAACAAGAAATTGCACATCTTTAGAAGATCGATGTGTCACCTAACATGAACCCTATACCTTAGGGGGCGAGGTTACTGTATTGAAAAGCCTGATCTTCTTGCTTAAAAGCTACGTAAATGTAACTCCTTCCTGATGGTTCTAATGATATAAAACACAATTCCTTGGCTATGAGATTATCTCCTTTTTCTTTATAAGTATAATGTATGCTAGTATACATTGATTATTATTTTATTACCCTCTTCATTTTTTTCCTTTCCAAATATATGTATACTAGAATCCATCGGCTCTCAATATCAATGTTTTAAATATCGGATATCGGGGAAATATCTGATGGCCAAAATTCATATCGGATTGCGAAAATCTGAGAAATATCGGGGATATGTGGTAAATATTGGAATGCCATAATTGATGTTTGCATATATAGTATAATGCACTAAAATGTAATCTCGACATATGTAATGAAATCTAAGCATATAAAATATGAATAATATATGTTTAGTATCACTAATCAATCTTGTAAAATAAACAAAAGTACAAATCAACTTTGCAACATTTGGTCTAATTTTTTTAGGGTAAAATGTCATTTGATATAATGAGGAAATCATGATATCTTGCCCAAACATTATCAAACACAGTATAGTGTTTGGTGACAAGCCATATAAAAAGATGTATCGGTCCACATACCGGCTGATATATTGGCCATATCGGGGGATATATCGCCCAAAATAGCCAAAAAGCAGTAAAGGATATTTAGAGACCATATCGGTTGCGGCAAGCCCTGTAAAAGGATATATCGGGGGATATATCGGGCTATGTCGGGGATATTTAAAACAATGTTCAATATTACCTGATCTACACCCTGTTGTTGATAAGGATCCTTACATTCTCCGGCAAAAAAAATCCCAAAAGCACGCTTTCACGTTGCCAGTTATCTTGATAGGATTTGTTTAGGGCACAAGATTAATGTGATGTGATTTGATCATAAATGGGAAGGAAACTTAGGAATTATTTATTGATGGGAAATAAGATTATTTCAATGTTAGTTAAATCTTTAATATTATGAAGTAGCTCCTCCAATCAATCATTAGATTTGCTGTTAGGTTTCCCAATTCTTATAAATTGTTAGAAATTAGTCCCTTGAAATTGCGAAAAAAGAATTGAGAGACCAAACATCAATTTTAAAGATTTGATGGGCTAATTCCAAAATATTAAATATAAGGGACTATTTTGAAATGACCCTATTTTCCATCTATAAATAAATCATAACCTCTTCTTTCTTTTTCAATTAAACCACATTTTGTATGATCTTTAGCCTTAAAAAAATCTATCTTATGATGGCTGGCAATATGAAGGAGAGGTTTTGGGAGGTTTTGCTGAAGAATGTGAGAATTATTATTAACGACGGGGATGAAGATCAGCTAGCATGGTGGCCAATGAGTTCTACCCTTTTCGTTGTGCGATTTACAGATTTGAGACCATCTCACAGGAAGCGTGCAAGACCTCTTAAGTATTCATCTCTTGAGAAAGGGGAAAATTTGATGAGCTTACTAAAATAACATGCGGTCGGGATGCTTTCTAGTATACATATAGTTAGAATGAAAAAAAGAAAAAGAAAAAGAAAAAGAAAAAGAAAAAGAATCCCATAGTTGAGGAATTGTTTTTTATATCATTAAATTCATCAGGAGGATGCTTTGGAGGGTGTTAACTTTACATAAGATTTAGGTTACACATCAATCTTCAGATTTAAAAAGACTCCCATAGTTGAGGAATTGTTTTTTATATCATTAAATTCACCAGGAGGATGCTTTGGAGGGTGTTAACTTTACATAAGATTTTAGGTGGCACATCAATCTTCAGATTTGCAAGTTCTTGCAGGGAATGGTCTATGAAATTCTTGCAGGGAATGGCCTAAATATACGCTTGAATTGAATATATGAATGTCATCAGGAGAAGGGATGCAAAAGGAAAATGATTAATTTGAGGAACACATTTTTGCATAAAAAAGACGTGCATTTGTTTTATTGAAGTCTGTAAAGTTGTGACTGGTTTTTTTGCAGAAAAATACCTGTGGATGTGTTTTGTTGAAGTCTGATAGGTATAGGGATACCACTAGTTGGAAGGAATGTAAAATGTTTTGACGAACGTGCTTTTTTCACAAGAGGACCCATGAATGTGTTTTTTTGGGACTCCATAGGAATAGGAATACTACAAGAGTACATAATATCAATAATTTCACAATATTCAAGAGTTTTTTTCTCATTTGACTTCCAGCATAAGAGCATAAGCAATTGCTAGAACAAAGAGTGTGAGTGATTTTTTCCATTACAAAATTAATAGTCATTGACTCGTTAAACAGTTGCAATCATGTCATGCATCTCATTTATATTGCTTGTATAATCTTGTCCGTGTTATTGTTATGAGGTCCATGACCATATCACTTGGTAGGAAACTTTGTTACTTTACATTTTGTTTATCGTTAGTTTCTTTTGTAATCACATTTTACCCTTGGGGAGGTTCGTGTCTAAAATTTATTGGCTTGTTATCTCAATAGAATGAGGACGGGTTGCTTTGGAATCCGGGTACTGTGTTGCCAGCAGGACTAGCAACATTCTACACAACTACAAAGCCTCTTGAGAAATCATGGCATGTGATGGGGCTCGGCTACAACCCAAGTGTGAGCCAAGATGAAATCCGTAATGCTGCTGTTATACATTTCAATGGAAACATGAAACCGTGGCTGGATGTTGCCTTGAACCAGTACAAGCATCTATGGACCAAGTATGTTGATAGTGAGATGGAGTTTCTTCCACTCTGTAACTTTGGGTTTTAAGCACATAAGAGCAGGTTGCTTCACACAGTTTCTTGCCTTCTCTCACTTCACTTCGACCCTAAATTGTGGTCCAGGCAAAAGTGCCTGTTTATACTGATATGCTACAGGTTCCCTTATCCCGATTTGTGCCGCCGTCTGTCCATTGACTTTTGTATTGTAGACGTACTATTTGTTTCTCGTGCAGTAGCATAGATGTATTACTAGTTGACTCGACATAAATTATAAAGCAAAAACTAGAGGAAACAAGTGATTCTTCTGGTAAGTTTGCGCTTTTGCAGCGAAATTACTTTTTGTATCAGTGAGCTGATGGATGAACATCCGGTGTACTTAGTTGGTCTATGTGTCCAAATATCACATGGGATTCTAATACTGGTGTCGGTATTCTCTGCTGGAGTTGTCGTGGGTATAAAGATATAACAATGGTGTAGCCCGTAACTAAACTGTCACTTTTGATCCTCTGATGTTTTGAGTCTTTGATTTCTTGAATTTGATTTGCGGACGTTTTGCCTGGCCATGTTCATGTTAGTATCCTCAGATTCCTGGCAGAGTACTGCCATCTTTTGAAAACGAATCAAACGTACCTATACTTCAAATAGGGATGCAGGAGAAAAAAAGGAGAGTCTTTCCAAATTTGGGGCATTCTTCAAATATTTAGGGAGAGTTTTGTCATAAATACAACACGTTACGTTCTTCAAAACGGGATGGGGAAAAAAATAAATATAAAATAAAATCTGTAATTACAAAAAAAACCATTGGGGCAGTTCCAATGCATAAGAGCATCCCAAAATAGGGATGTAGAATATTTTTATTATTGTAATTGGAGCAATTTTTTTTGAAGAATATGATTTTTGCTTCCCTATTTTGGAGAAAATTTTGGGAAAATTGTTGGAGATGCTCTTACAATGGTAACCTTCCCAACCCCCTCAAAAAGAGACTGAGATCCTCTCCTAATGAAAATCTTCTAATGTCTCCTAATAAGGAGATCCTATCCTTTTATTTTCATCATGATCTTTCATTTTCTCACCCATCCTTGTGGGCCCCACTCCCAACTCTTCACAAATCTCATTAGGAAATATTAGGCATTAGGAGAGGATCCCAATTCCTCAAAAAGCTATCCATTGCTACATTCAAAAACCTATGCTCTCACCATGATACCTCAAGTTTTATTTCATACCTAAAATACTTTAAAAAGTTCTCAAACTGACAATTTGATACCCGAATTGTTCTGATGAAACTTTAGAGGGTACTAAAGCGCGAATAACTCATTTTTTAAAACAGTATAGCGCCATTCCCGCTGTACACCCCCGAAAAAGAAAGATACTGGGCAGATGGAAAGGGCTGGTGCTCGCTTCATTTTTATTCAGAATTAAAAATAATAATAAAAAAAGGGGAAAGCAAGGGTCATAAAAAGAGCTGTGAACAGGAGAATAAGGTCAAAGCGCCCTCTCGCCTCTCTTCGCTGTTTCTCAACTGCGAAAAAAAAAAAAAAAAAAAAAACCCTCCTCCTCCTACTCCTCCTCCGCCCTCAATCTCCGTAATAATAAAGAGAAAGAGAAACTGATCCTTCAACCTCGTTCCTCACTTACTTAAGGTTCATCCTCCCCCCTCTCCTCATGTATAGATTTCGTCAGATCTCGTGCTCCGATGCTTGGATCTGGTCTCAGGATTGCTACTTTCTAATATACATATATATTTTTCTTTTTTACCCTTTCAATTTATACATATATATTTTTTTTGTGTGCAGAATCTGACCGCTTCGAGTTAAACTAGAGATGGGATTTAGGGTTTCGGATGAGCTGCTGGGCACTTTCGTGCCGATCGCGGTCTACTGGATCTACTCGGGATTCTATGAGCTTCTCGGCGGTCTCCATAACTACAGGCTTCACCCGAAGGGCGAAGAGGAAGTCAAGAACGTGGCGACCAAAGCAACGGTTGTTAAAGGAGTTCTCATTCAGCAAGCCTTTCAGATCGCCGTCTCCCTTCTCCTGTTCACGGTATACACGTTCATTTAGTTGTGTTCTGTAACTAGTATCGTGGAAATGGGTATGTGAATCTGCCGCTATTCGTATTTCGAAAAGGAACCTAATTACAACCTTCAGCCACTTTAGTACAACTTACCCACCCCCCCTGAATTCGCTTCTTGATTGTGATAAACCCCGTCTCTTATGAATCGGGGCGCGGATAAATGACGCTGAGGGGGTGATGAGTGTTGCTGGAGATGAAAATGAGGGGGTTATCTGCAGTTTACCCAAGAAAAAAAAAAGACCATAGCCTGTCTTGCGTATAAATCTCCTCATGGTAAACTAATTTGCAGATTTGTAAGCGTCGGAAGATAAATCGAAAGCGTCAAAGACAAACATAAACATGTGTCATGTTCAGGCTTGTTCAGGCTTGTTCAGGCTTGTTCAGGCTTGTTAGGAGAAGTGTCGCAGATAGCTTAGTATTAACCTTTCACTTTTCTACGTCAATGTCGTATCTGCACTATGTATTCTTCTATATGATATGCGATATAACACGTGTTTTAATGAATAAAATAGATATCATAGTATCATGTATTGTAAGTTGTTAATGTTGGGTTTTTCTATTATGCAGTTCATCGGTGATGACTCAATGACAGTTTCGCGGCAACCTTCTATTATTTTGATATTAATTCAGTTTGCAATCGCTATGGTAGTGATGGACACATGGCAGTATTTCGTGCATCGGTATATGCACATTAACAAGTTCTTGTACAAACACATCCACTCCAAGCACCATAGCCTTGTTGTCCCCTTTGCCTATGGTGCTCTATACAATCACCCCCTTGAGGGGCTACTCCTGGACACTGTCGGTGGGGTTTTGTCCTTCCTTATCTCCGGAATGACCCCTCGGACCTCAATCTTCTTCTTTTCTTTTGCGACAGTCAAGACGGTTGATGATCATTGTGGATTGTGGCTTCCAGGCAACCTCTTCCATGTGTTCTTCAGTAACAACTGTGCTTACCATGATATTCACCATCAGCTCTATGGAAACAAGTACAACTTCTCACAACCTTTCTTTGTGACATGGGATAAAATTCTTGGAACGTACATGCCCTATTCACTTGAAAAGAGGAAAGAAGGGGGATTGGAGGCGCGACCAATAAAAAAGATTGACTAAGGTCGCATTCTATATATTAACCTGTTATCAATATTTATTTTTCTGTTTATAAAGGTTAGAATTGATGTTGCTAGAGTATAGAGATGATCATTTGATGAAGGCAATGTTTGCGAGTTGTTTTCTTGTATTCTGTAGTGTGTACATAAAGCATTATTCATTTGTTGGTTGATTCCCTCGTGCTTCCTATCCACCTTGCTCAACCTTTCCCCTCCTTCCTCCTCAACTCAAGATCTAAGCTCGGTGACACCATCTTCACTGTCAGTGAGCAGCTCAACGATGACAAGAAATTTATCAGATTATCTGTCAGACCGCTGCTGGATGTGCTCTTAAGTTCATACACAGCCTAGCACAAGGTTGATGGAGGATCGAATAAACAATTCGGAGGCTAATAGAAATCGTTACCTAACCCTAATTTTCTATTTGTGGATATGAGATCTATCACTACATGCTCTTCTTGGACAATGTAATTACTGCATTTGTTCTCGAGAAGTCTACGCTCAAGAATGCTGAAACCATATAGGCGTGACATATAAGATGTATGTGGAGACAATGCAGGTATGTTTCACTTGGGGGCCGATTGTCTGTGGGGCTGCCATGGAGGTCACATCTGTCTTATATTTTTTCCGTTCTCGAGCTTGTGTTATTTTCCAGTGATTTGGATATATTTGAGAGTGGTCAGAAATTGGGATGCCCTTTAGTACTTGAGAGTTTATCCGTCTTTTCCAAGTAGAGTCGGATTGTGTCTTTGGAGGTCGGTAGGGCAGAAGGATCTGACTGGGTTTTTGCGGTGGGACATGATGGCAATATGAACTTGGTGGCAGAGAAGTCTTCGAGGGGTTCCGGTAGTCAATACACGAGCTTTTCTATTTTTGTTTGAGGAATGTCAGCATGTTTTCCGCTCTGTGTGAATATGTATGATTCCAGCGAATGGAGGAGGAAGGATTTCCTCAGTATCAAGCCTCGGTGAGATTCTTCGGTCCCAACTTATTTGAACTGCGTTTGCTATGCGTATTTAACATTATTATAGATTGTAGATAGTTTTATGTGTTATTACTCTCAGCCCTTTGCAGATAAACTGTTGACATTATAAATAATATACCGGAACGAAGATTATTTGCTTAAAAATTGTTTTCAGTTTTGTGTTTTGCTTACGAAATGATGTCAGTTCTACAGATGCTTGTCTTCTGAATAATTTTACTTGCACAAAATGAAAGTTGGTTCGGTATACGTGAGAATCTTTGCAAGCTTTTGTTGACTCAAATAGGATTTTAACTTGATTGTATATTGTATACATAGCATCTTATTCACATTTTTGTCTTTTTTTGTTTTTTCCTGAACCATCTCTCCAGTATAAGAATTATTATTCTAAAATTTGTGTGCTATAAGTCTCATACGCACCAGCATAGTTTCACATTTTCTCCTGACATCTGTATCAAAATTGTCAAGCATTGTGTAGTATATTTGATGCCATTGACATGCTAGCGTGAGATTTAATTTGCCTTTTCTTCCCTACGGCACTCATGTGAACCAAAATGTACCTTGACCATCCGAACTAATAAACAATCTCATGCCGAATGTAAGCCCTATTGGATATTGATGCTGTGGCTCTCATCCGTGTGATAAAGTGAGAGTGAGGCAGCCTCTATACCTTTAGGAAGAGAGACCAGGCGTTTCGACTACTAGCTTTGTAAACAGCAACTCTTTAATTGTTAAGAGCTTCTAGAGCAATCTGTCATGCATACTAAAAAAATAAATAAATGTCATTATGTGTACGTAAAGCCAAAAATTCTAATATTATGATTTTGAGTGTAATGGGGCGAGGAGTTTAGAGATAGGCCTAAGAGTTCTTTGTTGGAGATAATAATTTAAGGGAGGAGACAACTCGTAGGCAGCAGAACTGAATGGAAGACTATGATTCATGTAGCCTGCCCCAAATTTTTTATTGATAGAAGCTTTTTGTTGTTGTGTAGCATATGATTCTATGAGTTAAAAAGGTTGCTTCTGATAATTACGGAGTGGGTGTGATATTTTGCTTGTACAAAATTAATTATCGTTAAAGTTCCATTGATCAATCTCATGTTTCTTCTGTACCGGTTATATAATCTTGTTGATCTTGGTGTTGCTAATTAAGTCCGCGGTGCTAGCATTTTCTTAGCCAAGATAATTAAACATTTTTCGGCCGTTATTTGTGTTCTGTCCTTTCTGAAACTAACCTTTCAGTTTACTACCTCGTTATTTTTGTAGAGCGAGGATACCTTGGAACCCAGAGCCTGTTACCGGCAGACTTGCTGACGTTATACGCTACCACAAAGCCTCTCGAGTAGTCAAAGCATGCGATAGTTCAGCTACATCCAAGCAAGAGGTAAATGAAATCTGTGATCCTCTGTCGAACATTTTAATGAAACATGAAGTCTGGGTCGGACATTGACATGAACTGATACAATCACTGGAAGACTCTTGAGTTTGTTGATACTGGCTGGAATTTCTTCCAAATCCAAATTATGATGCAAAAGATGGTGTTTGTCAAAATTGTTTGCTGATTTCATGTTCCAATTTCCCCAAGTCTGCCCTGTTTATTATCATATAAGTGTGCACGACTCTCTGTTTTCCTTAGATCGTGTTACTGGTTTGCTTGAAACAATTTACAAATTAGAAACGCCGAGGTGGTTGACGTTTGTAGTTCATCCGGCGCTTCTCAATCTTTGCAGCAAATTATTACCTTTTGAAGGGATTTGATTTTATCTTGATATTCTGCATAGTTTGGCAATTCGTTTTATTGCTCGTGAATTATTGAATGAGCTGTACTTATTGTCTGCCCAAAAATCTCATGGAGTCGTATATAAAGATACAACCTTATACATAGCACATAAATAAATGATTGAATTTTACTATTAAGGCCGTTACTCTTTGGGCCATGATCGCCCTTGTTACCTGTTTTTGTACCCTCGACAGAGGAAGTTGGGGGCTACATCATTTACCTAACGTGTTGTCAAGTTCTTTAATTCATTGGTTTCTCTTTCTTTTAAAAGCTCGAGAGTTTAAAGGGTGTGAATCTTTAAACAGTTTGCAGTTTAGCACCAAGCAAATTTGAGTGGTGGTGAGTGAGCAACAGTGGAAGGGGTCAATTTGGGCAAATGTCATCCTCAAAAACAAACTACTACATGTTGATGTGCTAAATGGGATTTGTTAGTCAACAATTGAGGTAGATGAACGTTCCTGTAGTCTGGATTAATGGTGTGTTTGGGAGTTTACTTAGGGCTTGTTTGGATTGAGGGGGATGAGGGTGAAGGGAAGTTAGGGGAACCATTCACTTCCATTCACCTTGTTTGGGAACACTTAGGAGGTGAAGTTAATTCACCCTAGTTCTCATTGGTTCACCTCCTAATAGTATAAAATTTATTACCCCTCAAATTGGGGTGTAACCAAGGAAAAGGGAACTCCTTTCCCTTCCCTTCCCTTCTCTTAGTTTCCCTTAACTTCCCCTCACCCCCTACAAATCCAAACATGCCCTTAGGGAAGGGGAGGAAGGGGAATGAAGGGGAAAAATTCCCCTTCCTTCCCTTCCCCTCCATTACACCCTGTATGTAGAGAAAATTGCAAAGAAGAGAATAAAGAAAATGTGACTTTGATTCCTTTGATCTCGGTTACAACTTGATTACAAAAGAGAGGAAAACGAATTTGGTTTTCCCCTTTGTTTAAAACTGGGTTCTTCTTGGCAGCGATGGAGTGCTTCCTTCGATTGATTGCGTCGAACTTGCTCTCCGTTGACGATCCGACCGTCTTTATCTCGTGGGAACGATGAACTTTCGTGGAAAAAAATAACTCTGAATGAGTTTAAGAACTCTGAACGAGTTTGAACTCTGAACGAGTTTGAACTCTGTGAATAGAGTTGTTGGAACCGAAAATTCGGTTAATGATCAAGCTGTTTTTCTGTTGTCGAAGAATCCTCTCAGATTTGATCTTCTGAGTTTGATTCAAAAATCCTATCTCTAAGGATTTCGTTGCTGCTGAATCTCCAAGCCTGAGTGGTTGAGATCCTGAGAATCCAACCTGTGCGGTTCAGATGTCAAAAATCCAACCACTCCCCCTTTAGTTTTCAAAGAGCCAGCCCCTTAACTCAGTTGAGTCTGTTGAGTTTTTATAGGGGGATAAGAGGTTGTAACTAACCTCTAAATCCGCTCCTAAGTGGGCGTGATTTCCTCAGATCGTGGGGAAACAGTTCTGAAACCGTTCGACTCGTGTTTGAACGAGTCAAACGCCCATCTGGCGTTCAGAACCCGACTTCGTGTCTTTGAATTGAGACGCGAGGTTGGGTGTTAGCTGAACACCATTGAACGCGAGGGTCGCTCACGTTTGGTTTGTGCCTTGATGACACGAGGGTCGCTGTTGGTTGAGATTGTGGCTTGGCGACGCGGGGGTCGCCTTCATTTCCAAAGTTGTGACGCGGGGATGACATCCGCGTTCCAGAAGGAGTTAGTTGACTTGTAACTTCCTCTGTAGAGCGTTGCAAGGACCGTTGTTCAGTAATCCTGGCTTTAGCTGTTGTGGGGTGTGAAAGCCGTCAGATTGTAACTTTCACTGTAGATTGTGAAGACTGCTGAATAGAGTTTTCATCAGTTGTTGGAAGTGTCGTTGAATTGTAACCCTTCTCGATCTATGTGAAAAGTCCTCTATTTGCCGCTTTCGATCCCCGACCCGAAAGCTATTTGATTGTAGCTTTCGTTGTAGGAGCTAGACGGGAATCAACATCCATAGTGTCTCAAAGACGGATATTTGCCCACAGCTCTCTACCAAGCAACTCGCCAACTAAGTCCAACCTTTTATTTCTGAAATCATCCCGCTGCTCATCAGCATCTCAAATGGTTGCTAAAATATTAGTCATGTTGTTATCGCAACCATCAAGATCAATCATCTCAGAAATGAAGTCGTGTTTATGGCGATTGTGGAGTTACAGATGCAGTGATTTAGAAAGTCGTCTGATTGTGACTTCCATTGTCGGAGCTTGTTTGAGTAAGCTATCTATTGTGATTTTTAGACAGCCTACAGAACCCCCTCCAAAGTTTTCGAAAGTTCGCGGTTGACTGGGACGAATTTTCGGAATACTTTGGATCTTAAAATTTAGTGGATTGATTGCTTCTTCCGTCTGATCGAGCCAGATGATTTCGACGTTGTCGATTGTAATCTATCTGTACCCCTCCAATAGACTCCCCAGTGGAGTCGTTTGTTTCTTCCTGGCTTTGGTCGCTTTGATAGCCAAGAAATTGCTGTCATAATGGTCCCAATACAGAGATCTTTTCTGTACTTGAGGATTGGAACGCGTGGGTGAGCTCAGCGTTGGGAAATTTGAACGCGTAGATGAGCATCGCGTTTGGAAGCTGAACCAACTCGAACGCGAGGGTCGAGTTTGGGCGGGCTGATGGCCTCGAATCCCGTACGTTACGATTTGACAGCTCATAGCTGTCTATAAATAGACCGCTAGGGGTCAGATCAAGAGTCATTCGACTCTTCTTGAAATTTTAACGAAAAAATTTCGTTCTCATCTCCGGCGAACACTGCTCATCTCCTCCGACGAGATTCAATGGCACCCAAGAAGCCCGTCGCTCCCAAGTCTGATGCTGCTGCCGCTCGAGGGTCTGCCTCGTCAGCGCCGGCCGGCGGCGCTGCTGCTCAGGCGGATATGCCGCCCCAACTCCCTTTGATTGGCGGTGAGTATGACCTCCATGGCCATTAAACTTGCTTCGGCAAGTTCTGATCTTGAGATCAACGAGGAAACTCGTTTCAATAACGCGGGGCTGGACTCCGTCGTTTCATCTTTCTTGATGCGGGGGTCGACCTGCGCGTCTGAGATTTTAGACGCGAGGGTCAACCTACGCGTCTGAACCTTCTGACGCGGGGTTCGACCTTCGCGTCTGAGCTTGTTTGACGCGGGGTTCGACCTTCGCGTCTGAGCTTATTTGACGCGGGGTTCGACCTTCGCGTCTGAGCTTGGATTTTGAGTTGTCTAACTCTTTTCCTCTTTTTTGCAGTACGTCATACTAGCGAGCCTCTTCTTTTTCGCCACCATTTTGGACATGAAGGCGGTGCAGACATGAACATAACCTTCAGCTCGCGATTAGAACTCCCAGTTTTCCGAATGAGGGAGAAGAGTCGCGTGGAACTGATCACCCAAGCTTCTCATGACACTCTTAGGACATTGGTTTCGGACGCTCGACTTGAAAGCCCAAACCGTAGGCCAATAGTCAAACCTGGATACCTCTTCGGGGACTTTGTTGACTTTAGGCCAATAGTCAAACCTGGATACCTCTTCGGGGACTTTGTTGACTTTGACGCAAGCACTGCGTATGATGGGGACTGTAAGTGGCTGCGGAAGGTTGAGGACCGCAACCTTTTCTTGCCCAATATAGAGAGGATATTCCCCATATCTTATTTCCAGTGCGCTTCTGTCCCGAGGTGTATGGATTGGCCTCTGGTTAAGGATCAAGATGGGGTTGCCCTCGGAACTCTGACTTTCCATGGGGTCCGTACCGTTGGTTATAATCGGCAGGTGATAGCTTTACGGCCGAGTTTATTTGCTAAGGAGTATCCCCTTGGCGAAGTACCCAGTCCGGCAAAGACCTTCGTTAAGAGGTGACAGCTTTACGGCCGAGTTTATTTGCTAAGGAGTATCCCCTTGGCGAAGCACCCAGTCCGGCAAAGACCTTCGTTAAGAGATTCCTGGAAAAGAAGGGAGAGTTCCCTGCGCAAGGATTTAGAACTCCTGGCTGGGTTCATTCTCCAGCGGCTGGATGGTGGGCCCAGATGACCAAGTTTGTTCTGAAAGAATTGGAAACTCCTCTTGCCCAAGCTGGATTGCTAGTTCCTGTGCGGGCTACTGAGTTTGGGATTATCCAGAGCCACTTTCATTTCTTCTCCATACTGGAGAAGTATAATCCTGATAGTTGCACTTTCTTCACCCCTGTGGGGGAGCTAGGCTTCGCCCTTCACGAGATGCACGAAGTCTCGGGTCTTATTCTCGGGGATTTGCCGTATGAAGAGTTCGTTCCGGGCTCGGCGGAACTCCAGATTTTAAAGAAGACCAGTCCGGAAATTTATGCCACTCTCTGGGAAGTCATGTGTCACTTCCACATTTGCATGCAGCTGACGGGGGTCCGTGGAGGCGGTATTAAGCAAGTGTCTTGGGCGGAATATTTATTCCATAACTTGACCACTAAGGGAGCTTCAGTGACCCGCTTGCCTGCCAGTACTTTGGAGGAGGTTCAGGCTCGTATTGACGACGCTACCTCCCATTACACTAACGAGGCCAAGGAAGATGTTTTCCCGGCTCACACAGAGTTTGAGAGCTTTCATTATCAAGCTCTGATTCCAATTTCCGACGCGACGTTGCTGGCTGGATTCTTGATGCTGTGGCTCAAGCGTTGCGTCGTTCCTACCAGGCCGATTGATGCCCTTGCTATTGAGGTGGTCTACCTGGCTGTTCTCTTGGCGCACGGGAGACCTGTGAGCCTACTCAGCGCCATGGTGGGTTGTCTGCAATATGGATTACGGGAGTTGGCTTCTGACTTTGTTGATGTTACAGAGGTGGAGTCCGAGGGCCACAAGACCTTCAAAACTCCCAATCCCCGGGTGCCGATGCCATATACATACTTGATGGCTTGGTACGTGCTCCACTGTCCTCCTCTGATGAGTGCAGCCTCTCCCCCGGGAGATTCATTCATCCCATTTGTGCAGCGACTAGAGTCTGCGAAAT